AGGTTGAGATGCAACTCGAATGGGAGAGCCTAGGGTCCGTTGGCTCGTCCTAAGCCTCTTCCATGACCGGCGAGAGCTTTAGCTGGAGTGTGAGGATGAGCGGAATCATTTTCTGATGAGCAAGGCTTGCAATATTGCGACTTAGAGATATGATGATGTCGTTAGTGCATGAGAACTTTAATTGGAGTATGAGGATGAGCGAAATCTTTTGCTAGAGTTTCACCATGGCTGAGTAGGGCTTTCACATGGAGCGTGAGGGTGCTTCATCAAGACCGAGCGGGTCCTTCACCCGGGGTGTGATGGTGCTTCACTGAGACTAAAGCAGGGCCTCCATTTAGAGCATGAGAGTGATTTACCAATGTTGAGTACATCCTTGATGAAGTCGGGTTCTAACTAAGGACTTCAGCATAGGCTAGTTACGTCATGTTAAGTGTATAAGTGTTGACTAGCTATAAGTGACACATACCAAATTAACATTTTTGCATTGATGCCTGTGAACCCCTCCCACGACACATTCCTTTCTATTATTTCTTTCTCGAGCATCGAAACATTGATTATGGCAGCTCTCACTGCATACGTAAGATTCTAACATTTGTTAGTATTGGCGCGGTTTGGCTCCTATTACCCAAATTGTTGCATTGTCAATGCACTTAGCTATCATTACATGACTTGCTCATGATTGACCATAACATTGTTAAATCCCACCATTGGCTCCTTGGAGGCGCCACTTTAGAGCCCTTCTCCTGCATGTTTTGTCCGTTTATGTGGTCCTTGCATAATTGCATTGTGATCGTCGTAGTCACATTGTGGTGAGAGGTGATGTGCTCATGAATTCATGATCATACCTTATCCACTCTGTCCCTGTTCAGACATCTTTTTTCCTTCTGAAATGTCATGTTCGAACATCAATAGCTTTTGTTTTTAGTTTACCGTGGCTTCACCATTTCCTTTAGTTCTTCTGCTATTTGTTTGAACTCGTTTAGTAATCTCCGCCCAGAACTCCCGGGCACTCGTAAGTTACTGCATTACTTTCGGTTTAGAGGGCATCCATGTATTTCTAGATCATCAATTTGATTAGTGAAATACATATCATATCTGGGAAGAATGCAGTATTGATTTCGTATTCAATTATCACGGCATGTAACTCATATTTCATTTGTCAAACAGATTATCTAACAATACACACGTGCCTTATAAATCCAAACGAGGAGTATCCTTGTAACCTAACTTGGTCGATTATTATTGGTCGTATGAACACTTGATCAATTTATAAAATTCAAGATCGCCCCGAAGTTCTGACTACAAAAATCCACATGCATTTTTTTTTGACCATCAATAAGACTTTATTTCTCAAACAATAGACATATCGTTTACAAGATGATTGGAAATAAAGTCAGGGATCTCATCCCAAACCCCAGAAACTTTGTTCATAAAGGAGTTCTTCGCTAGTTCATCCGCCACTTGGTTTGCTTCTCTATAGCAATGGTTGAAAGATACTGATCCAAAGTCCAACATGAGTTGCTTGCACTCCGTGATGATGGCTACTTCCGGCCCCAAATATTCATGAATCTGGTTCATCAAGTCCACCACAAAGGAAGAATCTGATTCCAATACAACCTTGTTACACCCAACATTGCCTGCAAGGTATAAGCCGTTCCTGATAGCCATTATCTCTGCAGAGTCAACCCCGGTTACCATAGGGATATACCAATTTGCTGCTGCTACAAAATCACCCCGGTCATCACGAGCCACTGCACCACTTGCACCCGAGAGTGTGTCATAATGGAACGAAGCATCAACATTAATCTTCAGTATTCCCAAACTTGGCTTCTTCCACATATGATCACTCGTCCTTGTTGGACCCTTAGAGACCATTGATCTCAAGTAGTTCGTCGTTAGAACTCTAATCGCTAAGGCTGTTTTCACTGGATCTTGGACAGCTATTCCCTTAACGATCTGCCGTCGCTGCCACCATATATACCATGCCGTAACCAGCGACAATTCTGCTCTTGGCAGCTCATGATCATCTCCCTGTAATTTAGACAAGATTTCAATGGTGATGGAGCCTGACCTATCTTCTGCCACCGCTTCTGTTACAATACTCTCTAAACCCAGTTGTCTCCATATTGATGCTGCTCGCGGACACAAAAATAGGCAGTGTTGTATATCCTCTGCTCCAGTCTTGCAAATCGGACAAAGGCCTGAGCATGGAATATGCCTATTTGCCAAAACGCCCAAGCAAGGGAGTGAACCATGCAAAACTTTCCAACCAAAGTGTTTTATCTTTCCAGGAATCTGTAGTTTCCACATGTCCTTCCACACTGGATTAATATTTTCTGAACCCTGCCCATCTGCTCGCCTCCACCTCATACCATACTGGTGTTCAAACTCCTTATGGTAAGCTGAACGCACAGTAAAATTGCCTGACCGTGTGAAGTTCCACGCCACAAAATCTTCCACCAAGTGAGCATTTAAAGGGATCTGTAGAATCCTGCTAACATCCACCGGGGAAAAGATGTCCCGGATTAGCTCCTCATCCCACTGTCCCGAATGCGGGTCTATCAACTCATCAACCTTTGATAGCATTACTGCACCTCTATTTGTGATCAGTTTTCTAGTGGCACTCGCTGGTATCCAAGGATCATTCCAAATATTGATATTAGATCCAGTTCCAACTCGCCAAATGCAGCCCCTCTTGAAAGTTTGAATACCTGCAACAATACTTTGCCAAGTGTAAGAAGAGCCCTTCTTAGGGCCCGCCTTAAGAATGTCCCCATCTGGATAATATTTTGCCTTCAAAACTTGAGTACACAAAGACTCCGGGTTCTGGATTAGTCGCCAGCACTGTTTTGCTAATAAATCAAGATTAAAACTGTGCAAGTCCCTAAACCCCAATCCCCCCTCTTTCTTTGGTATACACAACCTCCACCAGGCAAACCAATGCATTTTCTTTTTCTCTTCATCATCTCCCCACCAAAAACCAGCAATTTCATCAGTAATCGATTTGCAAATACCTTTTGGAAGTTTAAAAACTGACATGGCATAGGAAGGAATCGCTTGAGCAATCGATTTCACCAAAATCTCTTTACCTTGCATTGAGAGTGTCTTCTCCTTCCACCCCTTCAATCTCTGGCACACTCTCTCTATCAAGTGTTGAAAGCAGTCACTTCTGTCCACGCCCACCATAGTGGGTAAGCCCAAATATGTATCAGATAGAGCTTCTGTCCCAATATTCAACTCTCTGCACATGTCCTCCCTGGTTTGGACACTAGTATTAGGACTGAAGTATATACTAGATTTAGCATTACTGATTTGCTGCCCTGAACTAGAACAATATGTTACCAGGACTCTTTTTAGAGTAGATGCATTATTGTTATCAGCCTTCATAAGAATCAAAGAGTCATCTGCAAATAACAAATGTGAGATTGGGGGGGGGGCATTCCTGCATACCCGAACCCCATCTAGTCCACCAATTTCTTCTTCATGAGCAAGCAGACTTGAGAGGCCCTCTGAACACAATAAAAACAAATAAGGTGATATTGGATCACCCTGTCTCAGTCCTCTGGAGGGAGAAAACTCATCCGTTTCAGTGTTATTAGACCTGACTCTGTAAGTCACTGTTGACACACATTCCATAATGAGCTCCACCCATTGTGCATGGAAACCCATCTGCAGCATAATCCTCTCCAAAAAATTCCACTCAACACGATCATAGGCTTTATTCATATCCAATTTTACCGCACAAAGCCCACTCGATCCATGAGTTTTTTTTCTTAATTGCATGAAAGCACTCATAGGCTACCAACACGTTGTCAGTAATTAGTCTCCCCGGCACAAATGCACTTTGTGTTGGAGAAATAATATCAGGAAGGACCCGCTTAAGTCTATTTGCAATCATCTTAGAGATGATTTTATAAACCACGTTGCAAAGGCTAATCGGTCTGTATTGAGTAATCAACTCAGGAGAGTTTACCTTAGGTATGAGAGTGACGTTCGGTGAATTCCAACCTGTAGGAATTTTTCTGTAATGGATAGCATCCAGCACCTCATCTGTCAACTCCTCCCTCACAATATGCCAAAATCTTTTAAAGAAAATTGTGTGGAGCCCATCTGGGCCCGGAGCCTTCAGATCACCTATTTGAAACAAAGCTTTGCGAACCTCTTCCCTGGTATACTCGGCCATAAGCATGTTATTCATCTCATTAGTCACCACCGGTTTTACAGCGTGTAACAAGCCCTGGTCGACTTCCCCCAAATCTGATGTAAATAGGCCATGGAAATAATCACGGATCAATGGCTTCAGATTTTCATTTCCTTCTACCCAAGTATTATTACTGCTTTTCAGCTTTTTTATCAAGTTCTTCCTTCTACGAGCCGAAGCAGATTGATGAAAATAAGTAGTGTTTCTATCGCCTCGCCGCAACCAGCTGACTTTGCCTCTTTGCATCCAGTAAATTTCATCTTGTTCAAGCAAGTTTTCTATAAACAGAGATAACTCCTTTTGCTGCATTCGGACATCAGATGTTGGGCTTGCCCTCGATAGCAGCTCGAGCTCCCTCTGTGCTTTCCTGAGCCTTGAGCGAGGCTCCTTCAAAATCCTCCGGTCCCAAGCATGCAGATCTTGGTGTACCGCAGATAGTTTGGCGCCCACACCCGGTCCCAAGCCCCGGGCGGTAGCTTTACACCAAGCCGTTTTTACAATCTCTTCGACGGTCTCTTCAGCTAACCACCGTGCCTCAAAATCCACATGCTTACTAGTCAAGAGCCCCTTGTTTTCTCCGGCAACCAGTCAAAAACCCCTCATCGATCAACAAGCAAAGGGATGAACCTTCTCCGAAGAAAACTTCAGAATTTGCGAGGCAGACAAAAGATACTTCGCGGCGAAGGCAAAACAGGCCAAGAACACGCGGAGAGGCCGAAGAAGGGGGACACGTCGCGCACACAGCCTACACAGCCGCACGGTTGTTATTAAAAGCCACCACCGAATCCACTCCACGGCGATGAAGACCGAATCCCCGCGTCATCTTCGTAACCCTCTGCTCGTCCTCCTCTTCCTCGCAGCAGCAGCAGCAGCGTCGGCAGCCCCCGTCGTCCAGATCGCCATGGCGGCCGAGCCGGAGCAGGCGCCCGCGGCGCAGGAGGCGGCCGTGCACATCGTCTACGTGGACCGCCCCGAGGACGCCGACCCCGAGGAGTTCCACATCCGCACCCTTGCCCCCGTCCTCGGCAGGTACCGTGCCGTCGAATCGAACCGGATCCACAGCCGTTTGGCCTGGGTTTGCGCCTGCCTGTGGGATTTGGGCCCTTGGGGGTCCGATTTAGCTTGGCCCGGTCGTTTTGGCGTTGATTCGTTCTCTTGAGACTTTTTCCGGTTGTGTGTCAATTTGCTGATCTGGGGGAATTTTGGCAGCGAGGAGAAGGCCAGGGGCGCGGTCCTCTACCACTACAAGCACGCCGCCAGCGGATTCTCCGCAAAGCTCACCACCGAGCAGGTCGAGGACCTCAAGAGTGAGTGCCCCCTTTCTTTTATTAGCTATGGAGTTCCAGTTATACTTGCTTCCCCTGTGAAGATTTTTAATTATTCCGCATAATGTGGAATTTAGCCTCATGCATAATGCGGAGTTTACTTGCATACGCATAATGCGGAATTTAGTTGCATTGAGTCACTGGATGCCCATCACAGGCTCAAATTCCTACTGAAACTAAACCATGTGATCTTACAAAATTGTGGAATATAGGCTACTTGCCAAATCATCTCATCAACGTGTAGTGTAAAATTAAGTCCGACCTGCTACTCTAAGCATTTAAGAAATGTGGGATCAAAGATGCATTCATCTCAGAGTAAAATATTTCACTGCACATAATACAAATCACATGCTAAAAAGAATGTTTGGTAGTATATTTATCGTTGAAGAGATTCAGTCTTTCTGTTTCATGTGGACGCTTGCATCTGTATGATTATCATTAATCATCCCACTTACCCGATAGTGAAGAGGCTTGGTGGATGATAGTTATGTGACCGGATTAATTTCTGGTGGAATATGGATTTTCTTTCTTCAGTAAGATTTATGTTGCGAAACAGGATTTATGTTGTGTGAATTTTAGTTGTACTCGTATTCAGCATTGAACTAACAAGATTTCTGTACACCACATGCCTATCTCATCTGACTAGAAGCTTTTATGCTGGATATGCTAAAACCGCGTGTTAGATAACTGATAAGCAATATTTTGTGCATGTTCCTCTTCTCACTTCTGTTTCTATGCTGATCTGATCAAACTTGTCTGTTTGTTCTTGGTTTGCAGAGCAACCAGGTGTCCTTCAGGTTGTGCCGAGCCAGACCTACCAGCTCCATGGAAATGAGGGTGGACATGCCAGCACAACCCGCACCATGGGCCTTATGTGAAAGCCCCGGGTAGGCTCTGTTCTTCTAATGTGTGAATGGTCGCATCTCATGGCTGTAACCTAAGAATAAGAGATGTATCCACTTGACTTTGAAGGGATCCAGTTCCTGAAGTGTGTAAATGTAATGAATTAATGCATGATGGCGAACAAATGTGCTGATCTAATCTCGTTTGGCTACAAGTTTGAATTAATGTGATGGCAAACTGATGTGCTCGTCTAATCTGGATGGGTTTGCTCATGTAGTTTTGGCTCATGAGCTGTTTATAGGGATCCCTGTATCCAGTGCACCGAATGCACCCTGCTATTTTGGGCCATTGCATGAAAATTCTGGCTAGAAGATGAATTGTTGTCGCATTTGCAGAATTGTCTTTTTGTTTTTTATGTGTGTTCAAATTTTTTGGTCTAGACACAAAAATGGTCATGTATTTCAAACCGAATGTCCGATACCTAATCCGTTTTCACTAGACTTTGTTTTGACGAGATCTTTGAAACAAGACTGATGTTGAATATGTTTTTGATTATTTTTACTTGACTTGAACTTATAATGTTGTGGTCAAGTTTCAAAAAGGAAAAAGAAACTAAATTCTAAAAATATATTCAACATTAGCTATGTTCCGAACATTTCAACAAAACAAAGATGATGGTCAAACCAGATAGATATATGGTTCAAAATATTTAGTCATTTATATGTTTAAAGAAAGAAAAAACAAGGCTTTAATGATGGGAGAGGAAACGGTGGAGTGCATAACGCGTGAAGTAAAAAAAAATTGCTAATGTGCCAACAATACATTTCTATCCGATGATCAAAATAGCAGGGTGCATCCGGTGCAGCTCCAGTGCACTGGATACGTTCTCTCTGTGTATATGCTCAGCTTGGTTGTTGTTTGAAGAGCTGGCATTTGATAGAGATTGCGTTGATTGTACCAATTCCTGCAAAGTTGATGTATCCCACTCATCTTAGCATAGGCTGGCAGTTTGATGTAAGGACCAAACTAGGCTCTAGGTGTTATCACCAAATCGAGACGAGAGGACCACTTCGACCCAACTTCAATCGCGTATGGTTCAACACAATGAATCAACATTGCAATCGTTGCTGGCGTCCGGCGCCGGGCCTGCCCAGGCGGCGCTGGCGGCGGCGGCCACTGGCCTTTCCCCTCGCGGCGTTGCGGGGTGCTCCCAGGCGGCGGCGGTCCGGCGCGGCGGCGGTGCTCTCCGGCGTGGTGGCGGGGGATCTTCTGGGCGGCGGCGCTGTCGTTGGCGGCGGCGCGGCGCGGCGATGCGATCTGGCGGCGCCCGCTCGGCCCAGATCTGGGCCCTTCGGGCCCCATCTGGGTCTAGGCGGGCCGGCGGCGGGGAGGGCCGGCGGCGGGGAGGGTCGTCGGTGTGGCTTCCGGGAGGCAGGGGAGCGGCGATGGGCGGGTGGATGCTGGCGGCACTGGTGCCGCCCTGCTGCAGCGTGGCCGGCGGGGCTTTACGGGCCCAAATCGGGCCTGGCCGGGCCAGGGGTGGTCTGGTATGCCCTGCTGCTGCGTTCGAACGGCGACCGGGACGGTGCCGGAGACTCGGGCCTCCCGCACGACGGCGATGGAGGTAGTTCCCTCCCGCGTGTCTCCGGTGCCACTGCTCATGTCGCCTCGTGCGTCTCTCTCCATCCTCTTGGCCTCATGGTGGTGACCTCGGTGAAGCGGCGTGGGTGGCGTCAAGACCGCGGTGGCGCATGCTGGTGGGCGGCGAGGTGGCTGGTTGGCTCCGGCCTGGTTGGGCGGTGGGGTTTGGAGTGCGGGAGAAATCCCTTGCCGGCTCTCTTCCGGCTCCGATGCGGTGACACCTGCGGTTGCCATCATCCCTTCTTGGAGGGTGTCGGATGTATCCATACCCAACTTCCTTCCGCGTGCCGGGGGAAACCCTAGGACACGTCCGGGCAGCAGCGTCGTCGACGTCGCATCCCTTGCTGGAGGTGCTGCTTGGTACGCGGCGGATCGGAACCTGGGTCTGTGGTGGGTCAATTTCGGAGGGCGCAGCGGTGGCGGGTCATCCGCACTTTGTCGAGCTGTCGTTGTTGGCATTTCTTTCTTCTTCTTTGTTCTTTCTCTTTCCTTTGGGCTTGTTGTGCTTCTCGCCCGAGCATTCCTTTGTATCGGTGTTGGTGCTTTGTAATACAAAGCGGGGGGAAACCCTTTTTCGGTAAAGGCATACGCCACGGGAACAGCACACTAAAAACGTAGGCTACCCAATTTACATTGATCCGCTTGTCCCGACGAACTGCACATTAGCCTTGGAATTTTAGGCTAGACCAATGTCCCAACAGGTAACTTCGATCCATTCCCATCGTGACTGAGCAGACATAGAATCTCGTGGGCAGTATCCATCCTTCTTTTTTGCGAAACGCAACCTTTACTGCTTAAACAAGAGAATTACATAGAGGTTGAATACAACCTAGAAGAAAAGATGATACATAGTTAACTCATAAACATCTTCTATGATCCTCGCTAGCCTGCCTGACGCATCTATGTTTGCTTCCCGGTTTACATGCACGAGAACGAAGGAATCAAAACTGACGCTCACCTCCTGGACCTCATAACAAATGAAAGCAATATCCGCCCTCTCAAAATTAGCAACATTGATCATCCGCACAACCTCCTGCGCATCACTCTCGAGGATAATCTTGTGGAAGCCAAGATCCATTGCTAAACTAATACCATCCCGAATCGCCAAGGCTTCCATGAACCTTGCATTTTGCACGTACCGGTACCATATAGCCCGAGCTCGGATTAACTCACCATTGTGGTTTTGAATTGCCACTCCCGTGCCTCCTTGAGCCAAGTTTCCTGAATAGCTGGCATCAACATTCACCTTGATAAAAGGTTTCCTCTTGCGGTAACTGATACGTTTATTTTGCATCATGCTTTTATATCAATATTTATTGCATTATGGGCTGTTATTACAAGTTATGCCACAATACTTATGGCTATTCTCTCTTATTTTACAAGGTTTACCATGAAGAGGGGGAATGCCGGCAGCGGGAATTCTGGCTGGAAAAGGAGCAAATATTGGAAACATATTCTGCACAGCTCCAAAAGTCCCGCAACTGCATGAAAGTCATTTTTGGATTTAATAAGAATTATTGGGCAAAGAAAGTACCTGAGGGGGCTCACACCCTGGCCAGGAGGGTGGGGGACGCCCCCCCTACAGGGCGCGCCCCCTGTCTCCTGGGCCCATGGTGGCCCTCCGGTGCCTATCTTCTGCTATATGAGGTCTTTCGTCCTGCAAAAAATCATAAGGAAGCTCACGAGACGAAACTCCGCCGCCACGAGGCGGAACCAATCTAGGACTCAGGCAGAGCTGTTCTGCCAGGGACACTTCCCTCCGGGAGGGGAAAATCATCACCATCATCATCACCAACGATCCTCTCATCGGGAGGGGGTCAATCTCCATCAACATCTTCACCAACACCATCTCCTCTCCAAACCCTAGTTCATCTCTTGTATCCAATCTTGTATCAAAACCACAAATTGGTACCTGTGGGTGTTGGGGAACGTAGTAATTTCAAAAAAATTCCTACGCACACGCAAGATCATGGTGATGCATAGCAACGAGAGGGGAGAGTAATGTCCACGTACCCTCGTAGACCGTAAGCGGAAGCGTTATGACAACGCGGTTGATGTAGTCGTACGTCTTCACGATCCGACCGATCCAAGTACCGAACGTACGGCACCTCCGAGTTCAGCACACGTTCAGCTCGATGACGATCCCCGGACTCCGATCCAGCAAAGTGTCGGGGATGAGTTCCGTCAGCACGACGGTGTGGTGACAATGATGATGTTCTACCGGCGCAGGGCTTCACCTAAGCTTCACGACGATATGGCCGAGGTGGAATATGGTGGAGGGGGGCACCGCACATGGCTAAGGAACGATCACGTAGATCAACTTGTGTGTCATGGGGTGCCCCCTTGCCCCCGTATATAAAGGAGGGAGGGGGAGGTGCGGCCGGCCCCCAAGGGGTGCGCCTGGAGGAGTCCTACTCCCACCGGGAGTAGGACTCCCCCCTCTTGCCTTGGTGGAGAAGGAAAGGGGGAGGGGAAAGAGGAAAGGGGGGCGCCGCCCCCCCCCCCCTCCTTGTCCTATTCGGACTAGGGGGGAAGGGGCGCGCGGCCTGCCCTGGCCGGCCCTCCTCTTCTCCCTCATGGCCCATGAAGGCCCAATAACCCCCCCGGGGGGGGGGTCCGGTAACCCCCCGGTACTCCGGAAAAATCCCGGTCTCTCCCGGAATGTTTCCGATATCCAAATATAGGCTTCCAATATATCAATATTTATGTCTCGACCATTTCGAGACTCCTTGTCATGTCCTGGATCACATCCGAGACTCCGAACAACCTTCGGTACATCAAAATATATAAACTCATAATGAAACTGTCATCGTAACATTAAGCGTGTGGACCCTACGGGTTCGAGAACTATGTAGACATGACCTAGAACTATTCTCGATCAATAACCAATAGCGGAACCTGGATGCTCATATTGGCTCCTACATATTCTACGAAGATCTTTATCGGTCAACCCGCATAACAACATACGTTGTTCCCTTTGTCATCGGTATGTTACTTGCCCGAGATTCGATCGTTGGTATCTAATACCTAGTTCAATCTCGTTACCGGCAAGTCTCTTTACTCGATACGTAATGCATCATTCCGTAACTAACTCATTAGCTACATTGCTTGCAAGGATACCTCTCCGACAATCGGAGTGACAAAACCTAATCTCGAAATACGCCAACCCAACATGTACCTTTGGAGACACCTGTAGTACTCCTTTATAATCACCCAATTACGTTGTGACGTTTGGTAGCACCCAAAGTGTTCCTCCGGTAAACGGGAGTTGCATAATCTCATAGTTATAGGAACATGTATAAGTCATGAAGAAAGCAATAGCAATATACTAAACGATCAAGTGCTAGGCTAACGGAATGGGTCATGTCAATCACATCATTCTCCTAATGATGTG